ATTGTTATGGTCCGGGTTAGGACCAATGAAGAACAACACGAACACAAGAGTAGAAATAATGAAGGTATATTACACGAAATAATAATACAAGATGTGGAAGGTGTTAGTATGACTGTCAGTCTGGTTTAGAGTGAACTACTATCGGCACGACTTGATTCGTCCCTCTCTCTTGAGAGGCGTAGTATACATAGTGTTAGGAAGAGTTCATTCTGTAGTTATAGGTAAGGATCTATGATAATAGTTGAACGTCTAAACCGGCCTGACATCTCTTATTGGTAGCTCTAATCGTGGATTTCTTCTCTTGCTGACAACCATAGATTATGCCATTTTACAATCGATGGCTAGTGCTTTTTTTACTAACTTGTCCAAAATTTCATGGAATTTTCTTTCTGTATCTTCAATCTATACGATACCATTAATATATATATATATATATATATATATATATATATATATATATATGGAAATTGTAAGACAAAATGGAATAAGTTTGTAATGTGTTTCGTCCGTTAGGACTTCATCGGACTGGGTTTTCTGACGTTGTTGTGCGTATGAACGAGAGACGCTGGTTGTTTCAAAATTCTTTGAATTAATTTTTCGCAAAATTTTTTTTTTTTCAATCTTGACAAATATATACTTTTTCAAGAAAGTGATTTTATTGTTAATTCAGTCACAGTAAGTTTACGTTCAGGTTCTTACAATGTTTCACCATTCTTGACAGATTTTCTGTCATCACAATATGGGATATTTAAAAACAAGGATGATAGAAAAAATAAGAAAAGGAATATAGACGAATTAGCCTAGGCTGCAAAAACATTTAAAAAAAATGTTGACACTACCAGTGTCTTTCTTTCATGCACATGTGTAGTCACAGCAACATCAAGAAACCCTGTCTGATGAAGTCCTAGCGGATGAAACTTTTTCCATTTTGTCTTAAATTTCCTCAATACTGTTCTTGATATATAAAAATATATGCCGTTATCCCATCGCCTGACGATTGCGTTTAGCATGAACAGATTGTCGCCTCTGGGTGTTAACTTAATATCCAGCAATCGTTTTGACAAAATATTTTATAAGTATGAAACTTTATACGCATTATTATTCACCTATAAAAATATTTTACCAGGCTTTCTATGAAATTATAGCATAATTCAAGAATGTCATTCTATATAAGGTCGATTCAAAAGTTTCCAGTGTTTTAACAAACTCTGATTTTTTTTTTATTTAAAGCCAGAAAATATTTTTTCATTGTAACAATATTTTGGAGAAAATAATGATTTACTGATACAAGTTCTACTATTTAACGCCTGGCTGTGTGGAGGAGGGGCGAATTCATAACTTTCCCGGTGTTATTTATGCGTAAATAAATATAAGAACCCGACTGGAATTGGAACTCAGTTCTTCGATTTTCAATTTCGAGGCGTTATCCATTTCCCCACCCGCACATCCGATCTTACATTTCTTCCCAAGCAGTCACCCATCAAGATACTGCCCAAGGTCGACATTGTTTAACTTCGGTGATCGGGTAAATACTGGGACAATCAATGATTCTATATGAAAAAGAAATATATATCAAAAGAAATATAAATTGCCAATAACAGTTCATGGTATCATCATGCAATCAATAAATCCAACTTGTTTCTTATCAATTTTTCTCGTCCTCGTGTAAATCTGATCATTTAATTATATAAAGCTGATGCAAAAATTTTCAGTATTTCTCTGATTCATATAAATTCATAGAATTGTTATTCAGTCATCAAAGCGTTTTTCAAGATTTCTATCGGCTTACTCCACATTTAGGTTTTTCCTAAATTTGCTAAAATTGTGTTTCCATTATATGAGTCCCAGGAAAACGTTTCTGAAATTTGGACAAAAAACTTGTATTATTGTAGATTTATATCATCATTATTGAATCATTAGTCGATCGTTATTTTTCCGTCATTCAGAAAAGCCCGTTGCTCAACATAAGCTTGCAGAAAAACAGTCAGAGTAATCCGTAAAAAAAAATCCTAGCAAACAAAAACGTACGTTTTTCCAAGTATTTCATTTGGGGGAGAAAATCTTTACGACTGTCCTAGATACCATATATGTCGTTTTCCTTCCACACAGTGAATCTAATTTCCAAAAATAATATTTTTTTAATTTCATTATTTACGATATGTACAGGGTTCGATGGATAAATTGTCGTCTAAATTACGCCAAAAATGAAAATAACACTGACATCTCATTTAAAAAATATATTTACCAAAATTACACAAAAATATCTTGAAATACTAGAGGGTAAATTTATTCAATAAAATCGCCATTGGCTTCAACCATGGCCTCGACACAAATTCGGAATCTCCTGCATCATTTCTGGACGGTCTCCTTCTTTAAGTTGGTGAATACTGCCATAATCCTTGCCGTCATTTTATCAACAAGGAGTTTTGTTGGTCTCTCGCTCAACTGCGCCTCACACATAATAACCAAGAGAGTTGCATTCTGGGGAGTTAGGTGGCCAGATGTAAGGGGTAATGTGGGCGCAGAACTTATCGGACAGCTATGACTGGTTTCTCTTGCTTGTGTGGCTGGGTGCAGAGACCCGTTGCCAGATATAGGGTCTTCCGGCAGCCACCCTCTTAACCCAGGGCAGTACTACCTCCTCAAGACACTTGATGTAGGCCTCCGTGTTGAGTCTTAGTCCCTATGGCAAGATTATTGGAGGCATAACGTCGCCATCATTAGTTATATATCATCTAACTCTTTCCGAATCCTATGTACTCTCCTCAGATTGATAACCAAACTTGCTGAAATATTTGTATTGGAGTTTCCGGCGCGAATACCAAGCAGTACAGCAGGCAGCTTCCAAATTTCTGGTAAATTGCGTTGTGGTGCTTTTTTTTTCTCACAGCCGGCGCCCAATTGACTTTACTATACTGTGCCGTCGAGAAATATCAAAGCAAACAACGCGCATGTGCGAAATTATAAATATAAAATGGATACATCGCACCCAGTATTTGTCGAGATAAAGAGTGGTCCAAAATAACCAAGGGGTTTGAAAGTTTACTAATTTTTTTGTTTATTAACTTGGTTTTTTTTGTTTTGTTTTTTAAATCAGGTATTTTATAAACGAGGGTTGGCAAATTAATCATTTAAAATACATCACTGAACAATGAAGAAAAATTTTTCTACCTAAACCAGGATTCAATAAATCGAACTCAACGAGTATATAGTCACCATTACGATATGAGAGATTCTCCAAGATTTGAGAGTACAGTTTCAGAAAGTGACCTTCCACGAACTGACATACCACATTCGTTTCGGAACGGAACAGTATTTAAGATAGTAAGTGAATATATTGAAGGAGATCCGAGCGCGTCGATTCGAATGCGGTCTTGGAATATCCAAACCTGTTTGGATATTCCGGACGTCACACCAACGAATGTGTTAACGTATCAACCTGTTTCCGTACAAAAAAAGATGGGTCAATCCAGCTTCTCAGACAAAAATAATAATTTCTCACGGTTGAGGCATAAACTGGCCACCAAGTTTCCCGGGTTTAACAAGCTCTGACTTCGTCCTATGCGGCTATCGCAAAGAAAAAGGTTTATGTCCAACTAGACATCAAAGCACTAGAGCTTGAAACATTAAGGACTGTGATGGAAAAGGTACGTTAGTACGCATCTGATAATGGACGCTACTTATGTCATACTATATACCTATTCTATTGTAATGGACTCTCCCACAGATAATAAGTAGTAGTAGCATTCGCCAGTTCGGCTGAGTGGTGTTGAGCGAGTCAGACGATATCGGACATTACAACGTACCAACCATCACAACTAGATTGCTGCGTCATCAACTCTTATTTTTCAAGTTCCTAACGTTTTGTACGTCGAACCTAATTTATGACGACATTGAAATACAAGCCTCCACTATGAAAACTACTCTATAACAAATTAAAAGATGTAATCTTTGTAAACTAATTTATTTTCCACATCGACTCTATTACAATAATATGGTATTGTGAATTAAAATTAAAAAAAGAAAGGAGTTATTAAATTTTGAAATTCATTGGTAATTTTTTGGACACTAGGTACTTTTACTTTATTTGAACTATTGTTTTCGTCTTGAGATTATTATAGACACGTTTTGGCCAAGTACCCCGTGGTTTCGATTAATATTATTTATTTAAATATGTTTCTGTTATGCCAGCTTTTGTTCGTTCCTGTTGAATGCTGAATTAGTGTTTTACTACCTGGCCCAAGAAAGGAACTCGTAATCAACAGATGTTTAACCAACACGTATATCCTATAACCACCACCCAATCGTATACTTATGAAGCTTTTTGAAAATTTGCTATTTATATGTTGAAGTAAACAAATATATACTTTAATTTATTCGAACTGTACGGATCATTATAGGCAAATCTATTCGGCTAAGTACCAATGATGTCAAGAGCGTATTGGTCGAAATGTTGTGCCTATAATAACATCTATAATAGTCAAAATGTCAGCAATAATTCGAATAAATTGAAATATAACGACTTTATCTGTGTCGGGCAAAAGCAGAAAATTTATATTAAGAATTATTTTAGTTTCCGTAAATTCAAGTGGGACATGATATTCGCGTTTCTGGGGAAGAACCGAGTTCCAATTCCATTTGGGTTCGTTATATTCCCTTACACGCAAATATCCTTGGGAAAGTCATGTAACCACCTCTTCTCCCCACCGTTATGGGTTAAATAGTATTGATTGATTGATTGATTCTTTTTTGTCCGGCTTTTGAACCCATTGCAGGTTATTTAAAGCCAGAAATATTTTTAGACTGTAAGAATTGTTTTGGTGGGGCGGAGGAGATCATAAAGGTTTAGTGATACACGTCTTGCTAATTAGCCCATAGTTGGGGGAGAAGAGCTGGATATATTCGCGTAAATGAATATAGCAAACCGAACTGGAATTGAACCTCGGCTCTCCGATTATCAGTTCCGAAACATTATCCATTACACCAGCCACATATTCAAGCTTACAGCACCTGGTATTCACAAGCAACCATCTATCTAATTACTAACCAGACATGACGTTGCTTAACTTCGGTGATCGTACGGGAACCGGGGTTTCAACGTGATATGGCCATAAGCGGTTAATTCATACAGTGTAACCCGGATATAAGAGACCCGGATATAAGAGAAACCCGGATATAAGAGAGATTTTCTCTGGTCCCAAATTAGAGCCTGTGTTAATGTATATATAACAGACCAAACCCGGATATAAGAGAAACCCGGATATAAGAGACTTCGTCTCCGGTCCCGACAACTCTCTTATATCCGGGTTACACTGTATCAGTAAATCAGTATCACCTACCTACCAGTTCTTAAAAACATTTTCTAGCAAAAGGTTGGTAAACCGTGAAAAACAAATCACTGAATCAATCCAAATTTTTTTATTTTTCTAAATTTGTTAAGCAATGTTCTACAGTTGACAGATTATCACAAGATCTGAGTAAAATTCACAGATATATCATCATCATCATAATCATTATCGCCCGGGTGTAGTTGCAGAGTCGCTACGCAGTTGAGTACCAGACCAGTTCCCTCCCTATATCTGGGTTGAAAGCTCGCCTTGGTTGCGAACACGAGGCCGTTAATTCCATTTGGGGGAACCGTTCACCCTGGGCGTTGACTTCTGTTATGCCGAGTCTGGCCGCATATACAGCTTTGAAGCCGAATCTACCCCATTTTAATCCTGCTCCCTACCTCGTCCCACTCCTTATCCGAAAAGCCTAGTTGGAGAAATGAAGTTTTTTCCACCGATAACTTGACCATGTGTCAGATAGTACTGGGTTACATTCTACCAGTAGCAGTCAGAGAGTAACCTGAATTTAAAAAAAAAAGAAGACATTTATTGTATTTTTATAACACTGCTGCAAAAGTTGTAGCTGGGAAGTTTTGCATCAGGTTAATAGCATTACGAGTGTGTGCATGTTTATTTGTGTTTGTGTTTGAGTTTACGTTTCTTTGCCTGTATATGTAAATAGATGCACCAAGCAGATGCCAGCTTGAAAATTAGTGCAACTGACGAGACTGCTTTATGTTAGAACAAGAAAACTGGGATGTCAGACGAGCTGAAGAAAAAAAAGGCGGAAAAATAAAAACAACGCGGGAAATTCTATCGCCATGTTAACAAAACATTTTGAGACAATATAATATTCGTTCAACATATGAAACAGTCGCTTTAACACACATTTTAACATTGCAGTGTTTGAAAGTTAACTTCCGATCGTGAAAATACACCAACCAACGCATATTATATTCGTTGTTCAAACTGAAAACAATATCAATTTTTCGAGTCATATTTAATAAATTACTTCGGATATTCAAATGAAAAACCTTGGATGTGCTGGTGGTGTAATGGATAAAGGTTCGGAGAGCTGAGTTCCAATTCCAAATGGGTTCGATATATTCACTTAAGCTGAAATACCCTTGGGAAACGTATGAATCCACATTTTTTCTATCTAGCTGAATTAGTAAGACGTGTATAAACCATTATTATCTAAAAAAAAATCATTGCAATCTAAAACTGATGATATCCCAAAAGGTTTCTATTGGATTAATACCTAGAGACTGAAAGCCATTATATTAATTTTGTATCTTTAAAAACTTTTAAAACGATTTAACTTAAACGTCTGTGATTGTGAACTGAACCACTCGTGCTAGACAATATCTTTCATATTTATAAGTCTAGCATTAATTGAATATTGCTGTCACCTTTTGTCTTGTACCTCTGCTATGTATTTAGAGATTTTTGATAAATGAAGAGTCGGCAACTTTATTGTTCCTGGCCTGTCATCTCGACTTCAGTCATTTTATCCATCGCTGTAACGTTTCTTACCTGTGCCTTTTTCTATAAATAGTTTCATGGTTCAGTTGTTCTGATACGCTTTCCCCTTTGGTACCTTAACTTTTTTAAATTTAATCTCATCATTTTACAAATGAAAAGGCTAGAAGTAACCGTAAGTCCTGCGCTTGTGGAACTCTCTTCAAGCTTCTTGCTTTCCAGTCAACTTTGATCTTAGAGTCAGTCGTTCGCGTCTCGACCGGCTGATCGGTTGAACTCTCTGCCTTTGGGCGGGGAGGAACCAGAAGGAGGCTATGCCGAAGGGCGGATTCTCTTTCGGGGAGGTAAACCGACCCTGAACCTGTTTCTACGGGTTCAATGGGCATATTTTTAGACGAGCCCACGGGCTCGGAGATCCCACTGGCTCGGAGATCCCACGTTAAACCGGCCTTGTGCCACATGATCCTCAAACATTTAAATGCAAAATCAGTCGTTATCATTTGTCTTCTTAATTCCTGTTCTTTTATTGTTTTCGCTGCTTAATAATATTTTTCTCATATTCTCTCACACTTAGTAAGCCCTTGCGTCACAGTGACTTTATCGCCTTGTTTGTGATGAAATGTTTAAAATAAATTAATAAATATATAAAATTAATCTTTACATGAATTAAACATAATCTATTATGTCTCAAAAGTCACTATACACGTTCTTTTTTTTTTTTCTTTTCGGAGAGACGAGAAGTCAACAGCATTTGACAGTTTTGGCAGTTTTTGCAAGTGTATAATTCCCTTGTCAATGGCTCGCTAATTGACGATAAGGTAGCGTTGCAAATGGCCGCCCGAAAAGGAGTTTTTCAGATCCTGACTGAAGTTCGTCGCGAGTATGAAAATCTTTATGGCCGTCACATTGTTCCAACGCAAAGCACAATTCACGCTATCCATTGCAAGTTTCTCGAAACAGGATCTGTTCTTTATAAACAACGCAGCGGAAGGTCTGCTGCTACAACCACTTATGAAAACACCTCCTGGAGTAGGCGATTGTACAAAGCCAGGGAAAGTTCATTCGAAGGGCTGCAATAGAACTCAGCGTCAACAAAAGCACGATACAGTGCATGCTTCGAAAAGTGATAAAACTGTACCCGTATCGAATTCATGTTGTTCAAACGCTCCAAAACAACCCACTTGGAAAACTTATGGTCCAGCGATGAGTATGTTTCATCTCTCTTGTCGGGTAAATAGACACAAATGTCGAATTTGGGGAAAATCTAACCCAGCAGAAATTCTCAATCATAAACGAGACTCTCCAAAGCTGTTTGATCAGTGTGCCATGTCTAATTGAACTATTTTTCTTCAGCGATGCATGCGATAAGACGACCACTGTTACAGGGGAAAATTCTTACGATGCTGCAGGTGCTTACTACAGGCGAGGAGTGACCTTGCTAATGTATTTTTCTAATAAGTCGGAGCCCCACTTTGTCAGGTTAATGAGGGATTTCTTGAATATCAAGTTTCCTGTCCGATTGATCGATCGAAGTGGGGGCCTTTCGAATGGGTTCCGCGAACCCCTGATCTCACACCTTGTAACTTTTTTGTGCGGGCCTATATCAAAAGCAATGTGTATGCAGTTAAGCCCCGTGACTTGTGACAGCTTGAGGAAAGAATCTGCACGGTCTTCAGCAAGGTCAAGGAAGACGTCGGAGAGGCTTGCGTCCGAAGGTTCTCGAAAATGGAGGCGCTCATGTGAACGTAAACAGCTAGTCAACAAAGCATCGGAACGTGATGGCGGGTCCTGCAAATAAAACTACAATGGCTGCGTTAAGGATGCTAAAAATATGAATAAACTCAGTTTCTTGTGGAATTTTTATGAATTTATTAAAAGTGTATAATGACTTTTGAGGAACCCAGTATTGTTGAGAATTTGCTACATTTATGATGGAAGCTTTCTAATTATCAGAGTTATAGATTTTGCAGGCATAGGGAATATGAGCATAGGAATCAACAGCACAGAGTGACTGTAATTTCACGCCACAATCGATCTTCAGACCATGTGTAATACCGCTTTATAGAGCTCTATACTGGGTGGAGGTTATAGTAAAAATAAAGCAAACTGTTACAAATTCAGAGCTTCACATCAAGATACTTAGAAATTTACTCTTCCAGCAGTCGGTTCGCTTTCTGTCCTCTCTTTTACTGCTGCAGACGTTATATGCATTCGTAGGCAGGTACGCTAATCTGCAGGCAGCACATCCGTGCGATTCCATCAACCATTTTCTATTATATACGACGAAAAGAGCCTGTCCCGGTTTTTCTTTATGTCATGGAACCACTGGATCGTCAGTCGCACGCACTTAACTTTTATTTCATTTGCACAGGGATTAAGTGGTATAATGGAGGACAGTAACCTTTCCTTTGTAGTAGTAACAAAGTATAAATGAGTAGTAACATATGGTTTGAAGATTTCTTCCGGCGTGAAACTATGCGATACGGATTCCGATAGTTTCTTTATCTATTTCCCTCCTTCTTTTTTCTTTTTCTCTCTCTCTCTCTCTCTCTCTCTCTCTCTATATATATATATATATATATATATATATATATATATATAAAGATAGATAGATAGATAGATAGATAGATAACTGATGACACTATGTATAATATATATACTTATATATTTTTATATATAAACTATGACACAATCTATAAAATATCTATATATATATATATATATATATATATATAAACGATGACACTATATTATATATATAAACTATAGCACTATCTATAATATACATATATATATATTTATATATACAAACTATCTATCTATCTATATATATATATATATATATATATATATAAACTATGACAATATCTATATTATTTATATAAACAATGACACTATCTATAATATATATATATGTATATAAACTATGACACTATGTATAATATATAAATATATATATACATACATACATATATATATATATATATGTATGTATATATTGGATATATGTATGTATATATATATATATATATATATATATATATATATATATATATAAACTATGACACTATCTTTTACATGTCTTATATTGAAAACAAAGTGTTTACGATAACTGACAAACCACAAATCTACACAATATGTTGACAACATTTTTGTTTTGATAAAAAATAAGGATGAAATTATAAATCTAAAAGCTACTTTTGAAAAACTCAACGCTAAATCTTACGTGTGAACTCATGATTACTAGAAAAATCCCATTCTTTGATGTTGATATAGCACTAAAATCCAAAGAATTTACCGCT